TCTCTCTTTCTCATTCTCTTTCCCATTCTCTCTCTCGTCCTTTCTCTCTCTCTCTCATTCACACACACACACATTCTCTCATCCCCTCTGTCTTTCATTCTCTCTCTCCTATTCTCTCTCATTCTCTCTCTTACACATTCTCTCTCTCCTTCTCTCTTACACATTCTCTCTCATCCTTTCTCTCACTCTCTCATTCTCTCTCTTTCTCATTCTCTTTCCCATTCTCTCTCTCGTCCTTTCTCTCTCTCTCTCTCATTCACACACACACATTCTCTCTCTCATCCCCTTTGTCTCTCATTCTCTCTCTCCTATTCTCTCTCTCCTTCTATCTTACACATTCTCTCATCCTTTCTCTCACTCTCTCACTCTCACACACACATTCTCTCTCTCTTCCTTTCTCTTTCTCATTCTTTCCCATTCTCTCTCTCATCTTCTCTCTCTCTCTCTCTCTCATCCTTTCTCTCTCTCTCTCTCTCTCTCTCTCTCCTTCTCTCTCTTTGTCATTCTCTTTCCCATTCTCTCTCTCATCCTTTCTCTCTCTCTCTCTTTCACACACACATTCTCTCTCTCATCCCGTCTCTCATTCTCTCTCTCCTATTCTCTCTCATTCTCTCTCTTACACATTCTCTCTCATCCTTTCTCTCTCATTCACACTCTCTCTCACACACACATTCTCTCTCTCATCCTTTCTTTCTCATTCTCATTCTCTTTCCCATTCTCTCTCTCTCTCCCTCTCTTTCTCTTTCTCGCTCTCTCTTTCTCTCACTATAAAACACGGTGAGTGACCCATTGCTGTTCTACCAGCTTCTGTTTTTTACAGAAATGTGCAGATGGAAGAGAGATTTGCAGAACTAAATAATAAAGGAAAGTAATTTTTCTCAAATATAGCAAAGCCTTAAAAATTCCAAATTGTCTCTCTAGCAAGCGGTCAAGATAAGGATGCCTCGGCTTTCAAATATCGTTTGAAATCAAGCAGTTTTCTCAAGTCACATGAGGCGTTTACAAAGATCGGGATTTTTTATTATTATTATTTTATTTTTAAACGGAATAGTTGGATCTCTCTTTCCAAAGCCAAACTTGGAAAAAGCTATTTGGATGGTGGCCACTGACAGGGCAGAAATCCACTTACCAAATTCTTGAGTGGAATTGTCCAAGGTTAGGGATACCACGATACAGAAAAACACAAACGTTCAGGGAGTCCTCGTTTTTTTTCTTTTTCTTTTAAGAAAATAACTGAAAGAAAATAATTCTGGAAAAATGACTTTACAAGTCTCCTCTGTCTCTGAAAAGCTAGCACTTTCCCCAACTGTGATGGGAGATATGAAGCAGATTGAAGATTCGGCACCAAGGAGATTTCCCCTTGAGATTTCCGATTAATGCTTCGTTGGAAGAGCNAGAGGAAGGAGAAGGAAAAGGGGAAGGGAGGGAGGAACAAAAGAGAAAGTAAAGGGGGAAAGAAAGAGGAAGAGGAAGAAGGACGGAAGGGAGGGAGGGATGAAGGAAGGAAAAGGGGAAGAGGAAGGGCGGGAGGGAGGAACAAAAGAGAAAGGGAAGGGGAAAGAAAGAAGAGGAGGAAGGAAGGAAGGAAGGAAGGAAGGAAGGGGGAGGGGAAGGGGAGGGAGGAACAAAAGAGAAAGGGAAGGGGAAAGAAAGAAGAGGAAAAAAGAAGGAAGGGAAAGGGGAAGGAAGGAAGGAAAGAAAAGAGGAAGGGGAAGGAAAAGGGGAAGAGAGGGAGGAACAAAAGAGAAAGTAAAGGGGGAAAGAAAGAGGAAGAGGAAGAAGGAAGGAAGGAAGGAAGGAAGGAAGGAAGGAAGGAAGACCAATATTAGACCAACAATCAAGGAATAAACAATTCCTCCATCAAGGAACTACCAGCTCAGACAAACAATCAAACAGTAAACCGCAGCCTAATCAAGGGATCACCAAGGGGCACTCCCACCAAGGCTAACAGGGCAAGCCCTTAGTATAGAAGCGGAGAGCAAACGCCGCCACCCCTTCTAGCACTGATGATGTTACCTAGTTGGGTCATTAAACATCTACACGAGAACTACAAAGCCCAGAGAGCACCATGGACCCCGAGCTCCAAATATTTGCTTCCACTGAATCTTGAAAGGTTTTTTTCCAAGACTTTGCGATGTAGGTGGAACCCGGCCGATCTACATTTTGTTAGTTTCCCATCCGGAACATTCCCCCATGTTACCTTTGATATTCCCAGCAGCTTGAATCTTGCGCCAGGCCTCTTCTACTTTTTCCGTTTCCGTCCCGGTGGACGTCACAAGAGCCACGGGTAGCCCGTGGCTTCTGAGGACACTCGCCAACTTGTGGGCTGTGTCCACCCAAAGGTCCCCCTCAGAAGAGACGATGCCAACGTGAGCCCAGCTGAAATATTTCAACACGGCGAGGAGGACCGTAGCCGCGGAAGGCAACGTTCTGATCAAGGCCGGTTGGTCCATCGGATAGTCCAGGTGGTCCTCCAGGCAGACCCAAGATAACATGGCTTTGTTCCAGCCTCGGGCTAGCCAAGAGGCAGCCTCGCAGTGGCGAGGATTCAGCGGTCCTATGAACGCGGACAGATTCTTGGAGGAGTCAGCAAATCTCGCCATTGCTTTCCAGGCCTGGCCGTCTTCCTCAAACAAGAGGTGATCCAGTTGGTGGATCGCAGAGAGGGAAGGATCCTTCTTGATCCTCTCCGCGGCTAGTTGAGCAGCAACTTCAGGCAGGGCGTTGGAGAAGGAGGGGTCGCGGGACCAAGGTCCCACCAGACCGAGCGTAAGGGCTGGGCAACAGACTGGAGCAAGTGCCAGGATCGTCCCTAAGATGACACCCCTGTGAAGGTTCCAGGGGGGCAAAGAGGGCCAGCTGGCATACGGGGTGAAGGCAAGGGGGCAGGAGCTTAGCCGCCGTGGCATCCCGGCGGAGGAGGCCAAGGTCACCGTCTATGAGGATGACCGACCTGTTGAAGGAGAGAAGACGTTAGAAGATCATTAGAGACCACTGTCCATTTCAGAAAAGGCAGGCACAGCCACACTTCTCTCTCTTTCTCTTTCTCATTCTCTCTCTTATCCTTTCTCTCTTTCTCATACTCTTTCCTATTCTCTCTCTCATCCCCTCTGTCTCTCATTCTCCTATTCTCTCTCTCATTCTCTCTTACACACATTCTCTCTCATCCTTTCTCTCTCTCTCTCCTTCTCTCTTTCTCATTCTCTTTCCCTTTCTCTCTCTCATCCTTTCTCTCTCTCTCTCATTCACACACACATTCTCTCTCTCATCCCCTCTGTCTTTCATTCTCTCTCTCCTATTCTCTCTCATTCTCTCTCTTACACATTCTCTCTCATCCTTTCTCTCACTCTCTCTCTCTCTAATTCTCTCTCTTACATTCTCTCTCTTTCTCATTCTCTTTCCCATTCTCTCTCATATCCCGTCTCTCATTCTCCTATTCTCTCTCATTCTCTTACACACATTTCATCCTTTCTCTCACTGTCTATTTCTCTCTTTCTCATTCTCTCGCTCATCCTTTCTCTCTCTCTCTCTCTCTCTCATTCACACACACATTCTCTCTCTCATCCTCTCTGTCTCTCATTCTCTCTCTCCTATTCTCTCTCTCATTCTCTCTCTTACACATTCTCTCTCATCCTTTCTCTCACTCTCTCATTCTCTCTCTTTCTCATTCTCTTTCCCATTCTCTCTCTCGTCCTTTCTCTCTCTCTCTCTCATTCACACACACATTCTCTCTCTCATCCCCTTTGTCTCTCATTCTCTCTCTCCTATTCTCTCTCTCCTTCTCTCTTACACATTCTCTCTCTCCTTCTCTCTTACACATTCTCTCTCATCCTTTCTCTCACTCTCTCATTCTCTCTTTCTCATTCTCTTTCCCATTCTCTCTCTCGTCCTTTCTCTCTCTCTCTCATTCACACACACACACATTCTCTCATCCCCTCTGTCTTTCATTCTCTCTCTCCTATTCTCTCTCATTCTCTCTCTTACACATTCTCTCTC